CCAAAACTTGGTCACGTTTCTGCGGCACACAATTTCTGCAGACGGGATGGCGGTCACAGCAGACTGAATGAGACAGGTGCGTGCGGACAAGGCCGACACCTACAAATAACAACCTCTCCTGTTGTTATTTGCTATTCGGCCTGTCTTCCTATCCTCGTTCTCTATGTATTCAGTGCCTAATCAATCTACTGCGACCAACCCCCTCCTGAAGTTCATGGTTCAAGGGCATGAGGGTAGGTAGGTAGGTCCTATAGTAACACCCTGAGACTTCTCATCAGGTAGACGAAGACAATAGTTGGACTGAATACATGAATTATAGGGGCGTAAGGGGGAAGTGGGTCTTAGCTCCGTCTGCAAGTCAGTCCACGCGTATAAGGACCAGGCGAATACCAAAGTTAGCACCAAATATTAGGTATTCACACTAGCAAGGTGTAACTCTATTCCTCTCTCCTTTTGAGAGACGTTCCCCACTCCCCTTCAATACCACTCTCGCGCAAGCCATAACAACATATCCATTACTACAGGGTAACACCAACTATCCATCCATGCCAGTCATCAACTGTTACAAGACCGAGGGATGGCATTTGGCCTTCTTAGCGGCTTCAGCTGGATCTGGAGTTGCGTTAAATCTGACAGCCGAAATCACTTTAGATGGATCAGCACGGCGTCGCTTCAGTCGATAATATCGTCTGTGAAAAACGAATACAAGATGGATTTAAGCACAAGCATCATTCTCATACGTAAGGAAGCGTATAACTTGAGTTGATTAAGCATCTGTAGCGAATTTGATGGGGATCTGTGTAGAGCCTCCTAGTCCACTCTCAGGTCCTTGAGCCTCCGACTTCATAAGAGGGTTGGCTAGGGAAGGTTCGTGTGGCTCAACCGCCTCTCCTCTATAAGCGCAACCTGAACGCATTAGTATTTGTTACAATCTGAACTTTCGACGTTGCCATGCCGTCAGTTCCACTCCCCACCTTCCACCCTTCACCTTCCTCACCCACCATGGCACTATGGTTGCATAGGTAGTTGCAACTCAAAATGTCAGTAAAGCCATATGACAATCAAATTCACACCTTTATTGCTACAGCTCATTTTCGCTCCTCTTTAATGTCTATTCTCACTTTACTTTCCAATTATTTCAAACACATAAGAGAAATATCCTTAACTTTGAGGGGATAAATTCTTTCAACTACTTGGTAAGCTCAATGTGAGGTGGTTTTTGCATCAATCGGAACGGTCTCCAATTCACTATGACTGTTTCGCTTCAACTGTTTATGTTTAGCTTTATTAAGCAGGGTCGAAAAAGTGGGTCGCTAAAGTGATGTTATTGCAGCATTTTGTGATTCCATTAAGGCAGGAGTGTTAGTCTAACAAGACTTTCCTTTTAGTAACAGAAGTCGAGGTCCAGGCGACCCGGAAGAGACAGGATGTTATTCGAAGGGGCCACCACGAATAAAGTCCGTCAAATATAAACAAGTCACTTCAAAAAGAAGCATAAGCATTTAGTGGAATTGATGCGTGCACAAAACGGAAATGGACTGCGACTTTTAACCGAGTGCTGACTATGGACAATGTAGCCACTAGTGTAACAACAATTTAAACCGATACTGAAACAGACGAAGTGCTGCAATCGCAGGCGGCTTTGGTACGACGGTGCAGTTTTGTTTTTTTTTTGTTTGGCCATCGGTTTGGCTTATTTGACTACCTGTATGAACGGCCGTCATTTCGGCGGCCATCGTGTTTTTGAGGTTGCGTCGTGGCCTTGCAGCTAACCGGCCTAGCTAAACACAAGTATTAAGAAACTGTCAATGTCTTCAGTTGTTAAAAAGGAAGTCTTGGTACTGGTGGCACAGAAAGCATACTCACCATTGCCATTATTCCCATCCTCTTTTGCACCATTTGCGGCATATTTCTGAAGTGTAAATGAGGAGCATTTAATTTAGGTGGAGGGAGCTCTTGTATCTCCACAGTAGAAGGTCTTACAACGACGGTTGTGCTCGGCATTGGTTCCATCCCCTTCACCCACCGGCAAGCTATTGACAACTGTGGTGACACCACTGAGGACTACCAAGGAACGTTTGGTTTCGGAGCTGCACATTCCACATCCGCATAGATCTGTTGGCGGTGACATTGTTTGGGGTCCTTCTCCATACGGAACTCTATTTGATGCCCACTTTCCTCTCATGAATGTGTCATGCGTCAGTGTTCCAATGTCTGCAATGGGAAACAATTAAAGGTGAAGATGGAGCGTCCTCCTCTGATTGTCGCATTCAGGTCGAATGTAAGTGCAGATGCAGTTGAAGCATCTGAGAGGAGGAAATGCATTCTCTCACTCTCATGAGTGATTACTTCCGGCACGGATGTTGAGTGGGTGCATTTTCGCAGTGCCAAAAATGTTGTGATTGATGGAAACCACTTTCCTTAGACCATCTCTTGGCTTCCAGGACGACATTTCATAAAGTTTTGAGTCGGAGTTCCCCTTGCCATATCTGTGCTTATACATCCAAATTAGTGCTTCATTCATCTCCTCATCGCAAAAAAAGGAATCAAATTCCGTAATTTATTATGCAAGTCTTCTTTATGGTAGTGTTTCAACGTCTAGACGTGGACACTAACGGGGATCAGCAGATTCTATTGCTATCAATATTAGTTTTTAGGCCCAACAATTTGAGGATTGACACAACTTGCTAGTAAGTTCATATTGGCGACATAAGTTGAAGGGTTTAGATAGATCATATTAGAGGTCTACCAATGGGTAGATCGGAGTCAGTGGTAGAAGGGGAAAAAATGGCTGGGTTTTGGTGCTCCGTAGGATTGGCGACTGCCTCAAAGTTAAATCGAATTCCACCAGGACGGCTGGCCTCCAGTGAGTCTATGCACCATCTCGTATCAATTTGGTTAAAAATTAAAAATTTAGTCAAAGCTCACAACTTTGTTACTACATGTGAAGTCTTAAAGGCTTCAGCACGTAGAGTTTTTACGCTTTGTAAACTAGACTGTCAAGAGCATTAAGAAACATAATTTCCTTATAAACCAAATAGGTTTATTTTATTCTTAAGATTAAAAAATTATAATTTTAAAAGTTTCTTTTAAAAAACAAAGAAGTTCAAAAGCCTTAAAAGATATAGAATTTAGAGGTATATACTGTTTTCATTTAAAAACCATCCATTATTCATGTCTTTAACACCCTTTTTTTGAATTTCTAAAATTTAACATACTGTAAAAATTGAATATAATTACCTAACTTTAACTATATTATCGGTGGTGTTTGCGAGGATATTTTTGTTTAAATAAGCAACTTGGGTATCCGGCTGATAGCGAACTCTCAATTTGATTTTTTCTCGTTCGTACGTCTTAGCTAATGAAGGACGGGGACCAGGTTTCCGAAGAAGACAACTGGAAGGCGTCTCTTAACCTACCTGAAAGGGACGCACGACTAAAGACTGCCGATGTTGCCCCCAGTGAAGGCTGCACCTTCGATAGCTTTTGTCTTAAGCGGAACTTACTGAAAGGGATCTATGAAAAGGGGTGGGAGTATCCATCTCCAGTCCAAAGATCTAGTATTCCTGTTGCACTTACGCGCAGAGATATCATTGCTCGCGCCAAGAATGGTACCGGGAAAACTGGAGCCTATTCTATCCCCATATTGGATTCTATTGACCCGTCTTTGAATAAAATACAAGCTTGCATACTGGTTCCAACGCGTGAGCTGGCGCTACAAACTAGCCAGATTTGCATTGAGCTAGCCAAGCATATGGATATCAAAACGATGCTCATTATTGGTGGGACATATCTAAAGGATGATCTGATTCGTCTGAGTCAAACTGTGCATGTGGTTGTCGGAACACCGGGACGGCTTATTGATCTCATGTCACGAGGTTTCGTGGATCTTAGCTACTGCAAAACCGTTGTTCTGGACGAAGCCGACAAGTTGCTCTCAGAAGAACTCAAGAATGCTGTCGAGAAGTTGCTAGAGAAAGTCGATAAAAATAGGCAGCTATTGGTGTATTCAGCTACATATCCTGTGGTTGTACAATCGTTTATATCAAAGCATCTCAAAAATCCATTTGAAATTAATCTGATGGAGCGCTTAACACTCAGGGGCATAACCGAGTACTATGCGTACGTACAGGAAAAATACAAGGTAACCGCTGTCCGTATCTCATTTACTTTCTAGGTTCATTGTTTGAATACCTTATTTTCCAAACTACAAATTTGTCAGGCAATCATTTTTTGCAGCTCTGGTCAGCGTGTTGAACTGCTTGCGAAGAAGATCACCCAGCTTGGCTACTCTTGTTTTTACATTCATTCGCGAATGCCCCAGCAGGACCGAAATCGCGTTTTTCATGACTTTCGCAACGGAATTTGTAGGACGCTTGTTTGCACTGATCTCTTAACACGCGGTATTGATATACCAACTGTTAACGTTGTGATAAATTTTGATTTTCCAAAATATGCTGAAACATATCTGCATAGAATTGGGCGTTCTGGTCGATTCGGTCACCTTGGCATAGCCATAAATCTAGTTACTTTTCATGACAGGTAGGTTTGATGTTAGTTCTATTGTGTTTAGATATGCGTTGAAAAATATCGAAAGGGAATTGCGCACTGAAATAAAGCCAATTCCAAAGGAAATTGACAAGAGACTCTACGTGGCCGAATTCCAGGACGAAGCTAATATGGATGAGGAGACGAAGACTGCTCTTTATCATGGAAGGGTTCTTCAACAACGAGAAGCCCTTAACAATGGCGCCGAATAGTCTACTTATCCCGTTTTTTGGTTTTTATTCGGTTATTGTATAAGCTCGATCTTCAGATAGCTCCCCGATGCCGCCATTCCTTCCCGTGATACCTTGTACATTACACCTTAAGACGTTTATTTTTTGTTACAATTTCCCTCTTCCCCTGTATATACTACCTTAATTTGTACAGACGGGCGCTTTTGCCCTTAATTTCTATAGTGCTCAGACTATCGGGCTTGTGTCGTTTCCGGTTCGATCCCCGGTGCGATACCAGTGGCGCGTAGCATTTCCAGCCTTTCAAGTTTGTTCGCACTGATTTGTTCCGTTTGCAACAATCAGTGTTTGATTGCCTCCTTGGTCGTGATGCACTGCTCGCAAGCTTGGCTTTGAGTTTGTATGCGGCAGTGTGTGTATTGCTTGGCTTGTAGACCAGTTTCCACTTTTCTGATAGATTCGGTCAGTGTTGATGTATCAGGTGCTTGCATTCAGTTGTGGAAGAAGAAGCTGACCTTGGCTGTTTCAATAAAAGCAAAACTACTGGCTCGTGGTTTGTGTTCCCTTCGGTTGTGGGCGGGCGCCTCGTCTCGTTTCCTTCAGCCCTTGCTGCCTATCTCTACTGCTGAGCGATGCTGAGGCGGTGTCCTTCTCTGGGCGCATTACTTCTTGGTCTTAGCTCTACATCCCCTTAATTGGTAACATTGGATGCCTAAAGCAGAGTGGTTTTTTCTGCTTTCCAGTCATGGGTGCAGCTGGAGCCTCCTAAATGCGATTGAACTGCGTCATCGTCTGAAGATGCGTTCATGTGAGGCTTCGAATTTACCTTGTTCAGAGTGGGTGTCTTGGCTTCTCCGCGCATATGCGATAGCCTCTCCCTTGGTTCTGCGCACTGTGCATACATCCTCAAAGTCACCAAAACTAGTTCCCCAAATCTCCATGCTAACCCCTTTCTGTTACCGCAATCGTAGTGCGACTGTGTTGGTTGCTTCACTTCAAAGTCTTGTTTAGTCGGGAGCTTTCTTATCGACTAAGCCTCCGTTCCTCCTAGCGTAGTAATTCGTGCAAATACGCAAGTAAGCAATAAAAGTGGTCACATTTTCGCTGATCCAGGTGGGCTCTTGCTTCCGCTCATTCAATGCAATGTTCGCTTTCAGTTCGCACTATTAAACAGGATTTTTTCCCTCCACCACACGAAGTAGTGGTTGTAACTTAAGAATTGGAACTCAGCGTTCACTCATTCATCCAGCCTAACGTTTGCGATTCCGTAAATCCATTCTATAATTATAATCTTCAAAGTAGCAGCAAGCGCACGGAATAAGCGTGTTTTCAGCAAAAACGCCAGTAAACGGTCATATCCACTCCTTTAATTGTCCCTAGGGCGCAGTCACTTGATAATCCTAAAGCAGTGAACTTTAGGCACATGGGTGAATTTTAAAGTTGAGGCACGTGACTCCCACTTCTCCGTACCCACCTTCACACTCTCTCACGTCAACTGAATCAAAGTTGTCGCTGCTCAACCTTGACATTGAGTTCGGGTCATATCAGCAATGTTTAATCGAAATTAGGGCATTTTACTGGATCCTGCGACTTTTCCGTACAACCACAGAATCGATTTCCAGAGGTAGAAGAGGGTTGATATGCTGCGAATCCTAGCGCATTCACAGTGTAGACGACACATTTATCAAACCTTCAGGCACACCAATGGGCAGAGCGGAAAGGCATGAACCACCTACGCACACTCCAGCAATTGCGCACCAACCTTTACGCAACACTTCTCGCTTGCATCACTCTTCTTCTACAAAACTGGAGTTAAACCATACCAAAAAAGGTGCCCTTTAGTGCACCATTGGTTCACAAAACTAGCCGAGGACCTGCGTTTGGGTGTGTGCGTGCACTTCTTAAACGTGGCAACACCAAAATCAAATGGCAACAGTGACAACACTGACTCACTCCCGCTACGTCAGAATCTGATCAACCCACAGATCGGAATGACCAACTGGGAGTGCACCTTCATTTGGTGCTTTCACCCGACCAGTAGCACCACAAGTCACCTCCATTTTCACTCTCTCCCTTGTATCAAAAAACCCACCCACCCATCCACCCGTCTCGAGGTGAATAAGAAAACTACGTCACCACACAAATTTGTCCCATCAGGAGTCCGAATACAACACCACCACCACCACCTGTGGGGAGTAGAACGCAAAAGTGAAGTAGAGAGAAAGTGACAGCAAATGATCACAATGCGACGTTAAATTGGCACCTTATGCCTTACACATCGAAAACTACAATA